GAAAAAAATGTATCCTTCTACATGAAGAGAAAATAAAGCAAATGTAACAAAATGTTAACAAGTGGGGAATATAGTGAAGGCCTTGTGGGGCTTCTTTTTTTTAATATTTTATTTATTTATTTGACAGAGAGAGACACAGCGAGAGAGGGAACACAAGCAGGGGGAATGGGAGAGGGGGAAGCAGGCTTCTTGCGGGGCTCGATCCCAGGACCCTGGGATCATGACCTGAGCCAAAGGCAGACGCTTAACGACTGAGCCACCCAGGCGCCCCATCTTGTGGGGCTTCTTTTGCTATTTTTTAATATCATTCTGTAGCTTTAAAATTATTTCATAATAATTTTCTTTAAAAAAAAAGACCACTGGGGCCCAGGGTGGCTCAGTTGGTTGGGCGACTGCCTTCGGCTCGGGTCATGATCCCGGAGTCCCGGGATCGAGTCCCGCGACGGGCTCCCTGCTCAGCGGGGAGTCTGCTTCTCCCTCTGACCCTCCCCCCTCTTGTGCTCTCTCACTCTCTCTCTCTAAATAAATAAATAAAATCTTTAAAAAAATAAAATAAAAAAATAAAAAAGACCACTTACATAATAACGGATGGGTTTTTTAAATTTAGTTTTGATTCTTTTTGCCTATGACATGATTCCCAAACCTACCTACTTTTAAGAATTGTGGGGCACCTGGATGGTTCAGTCGGTTGAGCATCTGATTTCCGCACAGGTTGTAGTCTCAGGGTCGTGGAATTGACCCCCACTTCAGGCTCTGTACTCAGTGGGGAGTCTGCATAGGATTCTCTCTCTTCCTCACCCTCTGCCCCTCCCTACACCCCCACATGATCACAATCTCTCTCTCTCTCTCTCTCTCAGATAAATAAATAAATCTTTTTTTAAAAAAAGAATTGTGTAAAGAACTTAAATACAAGTTCCCAGACCTGGCTCCAATTTATTAAACTAGAATCTTCAGGGAAAAGTCTGGAATCTTAATCTCAGTTATCTGTTATGATGTGGCAGGTTTAGAAAACATTGCCTGATGGCCTTGAAAACAGTTTTTTTACTTGAGTATAGTTGATACACAATGTTACTTTAATTTCAGGTGTGCAATATAGTGATCCAACTTCTCTATATGTTATGCTATGCTCACCAGAAGTCAAATAAAATAAATGAAATAAGAAAAAATCAAACAAAAATTTAAAAGTACAATAAACCAAGTAATACTCAGTGTTGGTGGACTCATAAGAAAACAGGAATGCTCAGATATTATAGATGCCAAATTGAGACAATATTTTTCAAGGTTGATATCCATGACAATTAAAAGCATCCATAGTCATTTCAATGACAGTCCTAGGAATTTAATTTAATACATATTGGTATTTAAAAAACTATGTACAAAGAAGTTCAATCAACATTGTTTCTCATAGTGAAAACTACAAATAGCCCAAATATACATAACTATTGGAATGGACGTGTGTGTATTATCTTTTTTAAAGGAAAATATTTGGACTGATTTAGAGTAAAATGTGAGTAGTATACTTCTTGAGGCAGGAATAAAGCTGATATTGTCCTTCTACCTTGTCTGTATTTAATTTTACTAATTTTACTGAGGACTTTTTCTGGTATCTTCGGAACTTGCTCAACCCAGGCTTAGGACAACCTTGAAGTGTCAGAGACTTTAACATTCCCAGGGTAATATCTACCAATAAATAACCCATGCCTGTGGATAAACACTCCAGTTTCCCATCGCTAGTTGGGATAATTCTGAGGGGGATGGTATTTTAGACTTAGAGGGTCCCCAATAGGATTAGGCCAGTTGCCCTTTGGCCATGTCTGTCTCTGGTGCTATATTTTTTTAAATGTTTTATTATTTATTCATGAGAGTCAGAGAGAGAGAGAGAGAGAGAGAGAGGAAGAGGCAGAGGGAGAAGCAGGCTCCCCGCCTAGCAGGGAGCCCGATGCAGGACTCGATCCCAGGACCCTGGGATCGTGACCCGAGCGAAGGCAGACGCTTAACAATCTGAGCCACCCAGGCGCCCTCTGGTGCTATATTTTTAACAAACTTTTTCATCCTAAGATTATATACAAAGTAACATTTGTTATATACTACTTTCAGTGGTTTCATGTCCTTTTATCTAAATATTTTATGTCTGTATTTAACAGGAAAAAGGCACTTCAAATTTTTTTTCCAAATAGCTGACCAATGGTCCCAGCACCATTCCTTCAGTAATCTAACCTCTCCCTGTTAATTAAAAATATTTCAATTAGATTTCTAATATTTCTCTGTATTTCGGCTTGACAATGGCCTTCTTTACTGCTTATTTGTCTTATATTTATTCTGCTATAATATTGTTTTAATATTATAGCTTCACGATACTTTGTATCTGTCAGCATAACTTTCCCAGATTATTATTCTGGATTGTTGGAAGACCTCAGTGTTGTCCTACTTTAGAGGCCATGCTAGAGTTTTGTAAAGTGAAGTTGTACCAATATAATTTAGAGGAGACCATAAGTTTGTCACAGGCTCTCAAGGTATGAAAATCCACCAGCAAGACTCAGTGCCTCACCTCATGGAAAGACCTCACAGGGTCCTTTCACAAGGAGAACCATCAGCTTAGGTTTATAATTTAAAGTCCTTAAAAGGGGGAGGTTGTCAAGATTTTACAACTCGAAATCCTATTTTTCAACTGAAAATAATTGTATTGTCTAATTATAACAGCCAAAAATGGAATGCATGCTAATGGGAAACAAAACAAAAATAATCACCCTTTCCCTCCCCCCCCCAAAAAAAGGAGATAAAGTAAAAGTTTGTTTTTTTTGTTTTTTTTAAGGTCACTTTCTATGTATTTTCCAGACTTCCTTGCCTCGCTGTTACGGGTAATTCTGGGTTTTACTTGCTGGGGAGTGAGGGGAGAGAAGTAGGCATTTAATGGTTTAGAAGAGACACAAGTAATTATTTAAAGGCTCCAGCAGAGGGGCGCCTGGGTGGCTCAGTCGTTAAGCGTCTGTCTTCGGCTCAGGTCATGATCCCAGAGTCCTGGGATCGAGCCCTACATCGGGCTCTCTGCTCTGCAGGAAGACTGCTTCTCCCTCTCCCATTCCCCCTGCTTGTGTTCCCTGCTTGTGTTCCCTCTGTCGCTGTGTCTCTCTCTGTCAAATATAATCTTTAAAAAAAAAAGGCTCCAGCAGAAATCAGGGGAAAGGCAAATAAATATAAACTACAAAATATCATGACCCATTTGGTCTTAAAGACTGCTAAACAGGAAAAAAAAATAGGGATGGGTTGTAGTGGGGAGAAGGCAGGGATGAAGAAAAAGGTGGCCCCGCCCACGCTCCCGCCCCCACCCTCTTGCCGCAATGCAGGTGGGAACCATAATTGGGTATCTGAGCTCACAGTGACGTGGCCCTTAGGAGACCTAGAGAGCTGACGCGTGGATTCGTGTTTCCTCCAGACCGCAGTCTGGTAGTCGTTCGTGGCTGTGCGCCGTCTCGCTATTGCCTTGAAGGCAGGCGAGCCTGTAGCCCAGAGAAGGAGGAAGTCGTAGAAGCTGACCCTGATCCGTAGCAGGTTAGTGACCGCTGACTGGAGTGGCAGAGGGCTAAGACCAGAGAGGGTTCAGGACTGGATTCTCTCTACCCCTTACCCAATACCCATTTATATGGTGCAAGAAATGGAGGGCTTGGTGGGAGATCGAGAGGGGCCAAGAGTTGGGAATGGGTACCAGTTAGGATGTCCTAGGAGTGGGTATTTGGGCGATCTGGCGTCTGGAAGGGGAGGGCCAGAGAAGGGGACAGAGAGGAAACAGCCTGATTCTAGAAGGGCGAAGGGAGGGGGTCGCAACCGTTGACCCTGGGGATGGCGGACTCCGCCGCGGGTCTAGGCCTCGGTCCTGGAATCTGTTCTCCACCCTCCGTCCATTTTGGAGCCGGAAATGGTGGGCTGCGGCAAACGGGGGCGGGGGGAGGGGGGCCGGAGCGGAGCGGAGATGATGGTTGCAGAGGATAGGGACAGATATTAGGTTCGCGAAACACTTCTCTTCTGCGGAGGAGGCAATCGAGCGGAAGCTTTCTGACTGAGATATAGTCGGGGAGCAAGAAACTGTTTCCGACCCCTGCAGGTCGGTGTAAGTGTGGGCGCTGCTTGCGGACCCTGGGGTAAGCAAGACAATGCGCTGGGACCTCAGCGGGTCCAGGTTTGCAATGTCCACACTACCTCTTCGCCCTTCGTCCATTTTGATGCATAAAATGGTGGGCAGTGAAAGGAGGGTGAGTTCCAGAAAGGCTAGTGGGTCCCAACCATATTGAATTTTTTTATAAATAAACCACGTCACCATCCAGCAAGCTGTTTTGACTCCCCCGCCCAGCAAGTTGTCCATTTGTGTTCAAGAAATGGTAATTAGGTGACGGGAAGGATGAGACGGGTTAAAGGGTCTAAAGAAGAGGTGAAACTGGCTTGGAAATAATCATCTTTGATTACAGTGCCCATTTCTGGAGGGCGGGGTAGCGTATCAAAGGGCGGGAAATGAAGCCCTGACACAGGATGGAGGAGAAAGAGAAGGTGGCAACATTTGATTAACGGAGGCCTAAATCAACGACGGAGCTGGTGGCCCCTGATATACTGGTCCTTTAATCAAGTTATCAGTCCTGGCCATTGTCGCATTTCTGTCTGCAGGTCTTTAGGTCGGTTGGTGCAGCAGATTTCAAGGCTAAGAGAGGAAGACTGCTTCTGATCCCTGCAGGTAGGGGACTGCCTGGGACCCTCTGGTGTAGTATTATCAGGGGTTAAGACAGAATCTGGGGGACTCACTGCCCTTTCTGCCCGAGTTAAGTGCAGGAGGTGCGAGGAGTGGCCTAAGGAAAAATTTACGGGGAAAATTGTGGGCTTTGGAGGAGGGCTGGGTCTGGGGCGTCCCCTAGAGGGCGCACGAAGTCTCTCACATGGGAAAACCTTTTCAGACAGAGCTCTGAATCCTGTTGTTACAAAGCATTCCATCCTTCTTCTTGCTTTTTATCTCCTAGAAGAGTAAGCAGGAAGAAAAAAAAATCTCAACATGGAAAATGTCCCCCAGGAAAGCAAAGGAGATGAGCAGGCTCCGGTGCAGAATGAAGAAGAAGCCCACCCTTTGGGAGGTGGTGAAGGCCAGCAGCCTGGAGGAAATATTAGAGCGGGTTGGGCCCCACCTGCCCATGATGTTAGAGAGGATATGCCCAATAGGCTTGTCAATAACCTTGACATGATAGATGGAGATGCAGATGATATGGAACGGTTCATGGAGGAGATGAGAGAGCTAAGGAGGAAAATTAGGGAGCTTCAGTTGAGGTACAGTTTGCGCATTCTTATAGGCGATCCCCCTCACCATGACCATCATGATGAGTTTTGCCTTATGCCTTGAATGCTGAGGTTAATAATAATAAACCCCCTGCTTCCCAAAGTTGCATTTTCTTGATGTACCCTTTGCTGTGAACCTGTGGTTTTCTGTCATTTTTCTGATTGGAGATTTTATTTCAACTTAGTCTAGAAGTTTATCTGTCAGCAGGGGAGTTTCATCAACTTGCATGGAAAAATGTTTATTACATACTGTGAAGGTAATAAAGCAGTTTAAAAAGCAGTCTGTAGATATACTATCTCATTTAAAAGCATGCATATTATATATATGTATCAGAATGCCTTTTTTCTTAAATTTCTTTAATTTTTCTTGATTACCCATTTTTTTCTCATTTTTCCAAAATGAATACATATGTATTATATGTGTCAGAAAAAGAGTAAGAGGCAAAGAACTTGCCGATTGGCTTATAAAGGGAATGGAGACAATAAATATTCAAGACACAATTTAAAAGACACATAAATCTTATATTACCTATTATAATAAGATCTCCTATTTAGAAGCACAAACCTGGTCATTATTACAGATACATTTCTTTACAGTGAGCCTATTAATCTGTGAATGAACATAACACATGCACCCTTTAGGTGCTCTTCATATTTAGAGAAGGGCCCAAGAAGTATGTCTACCATCAAGTCTAATTGAATGCCAAGTGGGTGATACTTTTTTTTTAAGATTTTATTTATTTGAGAGAGAGAGTGTGCACACAAGTGGGGGCGGGCAGAGGGACAAGCAGACTCCCTGCCAAGTGGGGAGCCTGACACAGGGCTCCATCCCAGGACCCCGAGATCATGACCTGAGCCAAAGTCAGACACCGAATTGACTCAGCAGGGAGTCTGCTTCTCCCTCTGCCCCTCCCCCTGCTCATGCTCAAGAGTGCTCGCTCTCTCTCTTTCTCTCTCAGATAAATAAATACGTTTCAGAAACATGGAGAATGCCCTTTCGTGCTTTGTAGTTATACTTAATCCAGGTGGGTACTTCCCTAGTGCTGCTTAGGGATCCAAATAGCCCTTTATGGTTTTTCTCAGACTTTCTTCTTTATCCCCTTCCCCTAGATAAATCTGAGTGACACTCATTATAGTGTGTTCAAAGTTGGATTACCCTTTCCATCCTCTGATGAATATGGCCTGTTTCCTTGACTCTCCATTTTCTGTGCAGACACTGCTCAGGTTTCACTCCGCACATACACAGGTGTGGGGGTGGCTTTATGTCCATACCATCCTAACCCTAGAATCCCCAGTAGTCTACTCACACTAACCTACATGGATCCAAAGGAGTTTCCCTCTTCCTTTGCTTTAATTTTGGCTGTGCCCAATAAACCTATAATCACAGAACAATTAGAAACTGGCTGAGACTAGAGACCTAGTAGGTGGACCCTTGTTTTAGAGTATTTTCCATCACCCAGTCATCAGTGGTCTCCAAGTAGACTGTGCCTTTCTCATAGTAAATATATTGTCCAATTTGTCCTTGTACCCTCGGTTCCTAGCATAGAGACTGGTAAGTTGCAGGGTACAACAGTTAAGTATAGCTGAGTCAAGAGTCCTGCAATCTGGGCTCAGGTTTGCCTCTGATCATTTATGGGCAAGTAACTTTTTCCCTACAGACTGTAGCTTGTAATTGAAAAAGAAACACAACAGAGAAAGCATTATACAACAATTTCAACACATGGACTTATTGTAATGTTACGTGTCAGTGTTTATCGACATTTGCTATACAGACCAACTGCATCATAATCACCTGAAGAACTGGCAAAAAATTCAGGCAACTCCACATCCACTAAATCCACAACTTTATCAGACATCTCTGGACTTAGATAAATTAAAGTGAAGACCCCAGCTTTAGTTAAAGTTTGGGCACTCCCCTCCTCATGTATATATGAAAGTACTTTTTAAGTGCCTTAATTAACCTATATATATCAGGCTTTATTTTTCCACTATACTGTGCCCTTTTTAAAGAGACAACTGTCTTACTTGTATGTTGTTATCTTTAATTCATAGGTTCTCAACCTTAGCAGCAGGTTTGAATTACCTGAGATTTTGAAGTGGAGCTCAGGATCTACTCCCAACCAGTTGAATCAGACTCATTGGAAATGAGACCAAGGGATCATTACATTGTAAAAACTCACAATGATTCTGATGTATATGTAGAATTTAGAACAACTGAGTATAATTTGTGACCTAAGTACCTCTGGTTTATTTTCTCTGCACTACCCCTGATGGACTGTGTGACCCTAAGCAATTCATTTCATTTATCTAGAATATAGATCTTGTGAAATACATATCAAAGAGGAGGAGTTATACACCTAAATCAACACATTAGATCCTTTTAAAATAGTATATGTGAGGGCACCTGGGTGGCTCAGTTGGTTAAGCCTCTGCCTTTGGCTCAGGTCATCAGAGTCCTGGGATGGAGACCTGCATTAAGCCCTGCATCAGGCTCCCTGCTCAGCAGGGAGTCTGCTTCTCCCTCTGCCCCTCCCCCTGTTCATGCTCAAGAGTGCTCGCTCTCTTTCTCTCTCAGATAAATAAATAAAATCTTTAAAAAAATAGTATATGTGAATGTTCCTTCAAGTTTGCTAGTGTATCAAATGCTTCAGAATCACATGTGGAGCTTGTTTAAAATACAGAATCCTGGCCCTTCACCCAAGACTACTCTTTAGTAATGGTGCCTAGGTAACTGCAATGTTAACAAACTCCCAGCTGATTCTATTGCACACTAGAGTTTGGGAGTTACCTGTGCATACATTTTTATCTCAAGTATATTAAGGACAAACCAATAAAATAACTAAAAGAATATAGATATATGTTAGTCTGAATTCAGGCAAAAGCATAGAGGAGAAGGCCTATCTGAGCATTAGAAAAATAAAAGATGAAACCATAAAGGGAAAGATTGGTATTTACTATGCAAAAAATATTAAACGTTATACAAAATACAGCACTACTGTAAATAAAAGTTAAAGGGGAGGGTTCACATGTCAAAAAAGATTATTTCCTCAACTGAAGACTGTAATGCTTTTCTCTCATTCCAATGTGGGTAACATATAAACAATAAAATAAATAAAAATTTCATTCCTCTTGCCAATTTAAAACCTTTGTTGTGAGAGTCCATCCTAGCCATTTTGAATTGAACCCATTACTAGGGAGTGTTTATCTGCTTGTCTCAGGGAAAATGTGGGCAGTCAAAAATAAGCATAAATATTTAATATGGGTTTCCTGTGGCTGCTGTAAACAAATAAAACTACCACAATACAAATTTATTCTCTCACAGGTCTGGAGACCAGAAGTCAGAAATTAATGTGTGGGCAGGGTAATGCTCCCACTGGAACCCTGGAAGCTCTTCAGAAGAAACCATTCATTGCAGTGCAACTGTTATCAAAGCTACAATTATCAAAATAGTGTGGTATTGACATAATGACAGACATATAGGACAATGGGATAAAATAGACATCTCAAAAATAAACCCACACATGCTTCGTCAAAAGATTGTCAACAAGGGTGCCAAGAACATTCAATGGGGAAAGGACATACTACTTTTCAACAAGTGGTGGTGGGAACACTGCATATTCATACGCAAAAGAAGGTTGGACCCTTAACTTACACCATCTACAAAAATTAACTCAAAATGGGTCAAAAACCTAAACCTAGGAGCTAAAACCATAACTCTTAGAAGAAAGCATGGGGAAAGCTTCACGATATTGGATTTCTGCCTTTTGAAAGGAGAATATCTATTGTATGTCTATCCCACCATCTATTTGGAAGCACTTAAATTCTTTAGTTTCACAGGCTCACAGCTAAAGAGGATTTTTGCCTTAGGATGAATCATACTTCTAGTCCCACCCAGACTTAATTTAGTCAGATGAGACTTTGGAGTTGATGCTGGAATAGGTTAAGACTTTGGGGGCTGTTGGAATGGGATAAATGTATTTTTTATTTTGTATATGAGAAAGACATGAATATTGGGGGGCCAGAGGGTGGAATGTTATGTACTGAATTGTGTTCCCCCCAAATTCATAGGTTGAAGCTTTAACCCCCAATGTGACTGTATTCTGGAGATAGGGTCTTTAAGGAGGTAAATAAGGTTAAATAAAGTCTTAAGGGTGGGGCCCCAATCACAGGTGTTCTCCTGAGAAAAGGAAGAGATACCAAGAGTGTTTGCTCAAAAGAAAAGGGTCATATGAAGATATAGCAAGAAGACAGCCATCTACAAACCAACGGAAGAGGCCTCAAGAGAAACCAAACCTGCTGACAACTTGATCTTGGAATTTTAACCTCCAGAACTGTGAGAAATTAATTTCCGTTAAGTCACCCAATCTGTGGTATTTTGTTATGGCTGAATCAGAAGACCAACACAGGATATAACACAAATTGGTGATTGCCAGAAACAGGGTAGATAGAGTAAAGGAGGGAAACTATTTAGTGAGTAAGTAGTTTTACTTTGGGGTGATAGAAATGTTTTGGAACTAAATAGAGGTGGTGGCTACACAACATTGTGAATGCACTAAATACCACTGAATTGTTCACTTTAAAATGGTTCATTTTTTTTTATTTTTATTGTGGAAAAATATACATAGTGCAATATCTACATTTTAATCATTGTTAAGTGTACAACTTAGTAGCATTAAATTCACATCATTGTGGAATAATCACCGCTATCCATTTCCAGCAATATTTCATCATTTCAAACTGAAGCTCTATACCCATTAAACAATAACTTCCCATTCTCCATCCCCCACTGTCCTTGGTAACCACTATTCTACCTTCTGTCTGTATAAATTTGATTTGTAGGACCCCTACAAAAGTGGAATAATACAGTATTTGTCTTTTTGTGTCTGGCTTATTTAACTTAGCATAATATTTTCAAGGTTCACCTGTATTATAGTGTGTAGAAGAATTTTATTCCTTCTTAAGGCTGAATCATATTTTATTGAATGTGTATACCGTATATTATTTGTCCATTTATTTCTCAATGAACACTTGAGTTGCTTCTACTTTATGACTATTGTGAATAATGTTGCTATGAACATGGGAGTACAAATATCTATTTAAGCCTCTGCTCTCAGTTATTTTAGGTATATAACCAGAAGTGGATTGCTGGAACATATGATAATGATATGTTTTGGGTTTTGTTTTGTTTTGAGTAAACAGCATGTTGGTGCGGCTGCACCACTTTACATTCCCATCAGCAGTGTACAAGTGTTCCAATTTTCTCCACAGTCTCACTAACACATTGTTTTCTGAGTTTGCTTTTTTTTTATAATAGCTGTCCTAATGGGTGTGAAGTCATATCTCACAGTTGTTTGGATTAGCATTTCTCTAATAGTGATGTTGAGCGTCTTTTTATATGCTTTGGTCATTTGCATATCTTCTGTGAAGAAATGTCTATTCAAGTTCTTGGCCCATTTTTTAGTTGGGTTCTTTTTGTTGTTGAGTTGTAGGAGACCTTTATATAGTCTCCTTTAATAGACATATGATTTGCAAATATTTTCCCCAATCCTGTAGGTTGCCTTTTAGCTCTCTTGATAGTGTTCTTTGATGCACAAAACATATTTTGATTAATTATAATTGTATTAGTTTGAGCTACTGTAACAAAATGCAATAGACTGGGTGTATTA